TACAATAAATGTCCTCTCGGAGGAGGGCTCTCGTACATCATACTTCGAGTCTCAGACAATCATTAGTTCATACATTCATTTATATTTTGTTTTTTACATGATATATTCCTCCATCTCATTGCTGAAGTTCAATCACACATTCATTATTTCATTCAAACATTCATTTGTTCATGTGTTATAATTATAAATGAGTAGCGACGGAAGTCTTATTCAATATTGTCTGTCATCTCTCTTCATTTTAAAGTTGCTCCACTTTCAAGCTTCATGTATGGTATTTTGGTGTTAAATGTAGTCCTGTACATCAATACTTTTTGTATGTTTTTGCTTTGATAGGCACTCCATTGAATATTACCATTATAAACTTCCGAGTCTGATGCATTTTTTCAACACCAGATGTATCAGATGAGTGAGATGACCGAGCTCTGTAATATGAAATAAAAGAAGAATTATTATTTACCAGAATCTATGGCTATGCATGTAAGATTCAGAGAATTAATTACATCAATATGTTTCAGGCAATCTAGTGAATCTACTGTAGTACAATGTATATATGTGATAATCATAACCAAATATAAAATCTGTTTATCACCCTATCCTACCCTGTGTCTGGGCCCTCTGGGGCCAACTGATAAATCTGCATGCATGTCAGAAAATTTTGTTGGGAACCATAACATTTCTGGAAATATTGAAATACTGTAACATGGTTGGACTCGCTAGTTTTACCAAAACTGAAAATGATACACACAAAATAAATGTAGATTCATCACTTGGCAAAGAGAATGTTTGGGGAAAATAACAAGAAACGTGAATGCTGTCTTTCCCCTGCTTTATTTGCAGTAGACCTTTTCTCAAATCTTGCGGAGTACAAATTATGTGTTTTTTACCCAAAAAATGTCAGAAAATTAAAGCTTTACACAACCTGATGTCATATTTGTTTTGCATGATCCATTATATTACAGCATTTCAAGTTTCTTTTGCCTACCACTTGTACTTTTCTAGATTTACCCAAAATTACAGAAAATCTATAACCAGCAGACGGACACACGGGCGGAATGGGGTAAAACAGTATGCCCAGACAAAGTCGTACTGGAACATTTAATTAAAACTGGTCTAATGTAAAATTAATTATAATTTTTGACCTGAGATCTCATGGCAATGTTTTCATTTTATTATAATTTACCATCTGTATACATACAAACAGTACACATTTCACAAGTGTTACATGTATTGTACTAGCTAAGTCTATCATATATGTGATACAAGATACAACAAGATACAAGAAACTTTATTTAACGTCGCATATATCAAACAGAAACATTAGCGCTGTAGCGCTATTTTTGCGACAAACATGATAAAAAAGCAAACAGAAAACAACAAATCAAGCTATACACTATCACAGAAAGCTAGCACATAATCAGCGAGTATAACATACAATAAAATAGCAGCATATAAATAGCTATCACAGGCACTAAATTTAAAGTACCATACTAAGAAATAGTAAATGTAAAGTGATAATAGTGAAACACCTGCATATCACACAGGTGTTGCTATATAATAGGAGGGTTAAAACACTTCAAGTGTAATGTACATACATGCTAATATAGCAAAAGAGTAAAGAACAGGTCAGTGAAGTAAAACCAGACAGACATACAATAATAAGGTTATACTTAAACATTCTAATTCACTAACGATTCGGATTAAATACTAGTTTGTAAATGAGATGCCCTACTTTAACTCCTACATGAATCATGTAAACTGTTGACTTTGACCAATTAACAAATATCAAACTGTGATAGCATGAATACAGAACTGGAAACTTACTGGATCTATTGTTACAAATAAGTCGTCCCTAAGGCAACAGTTTGTGAGATTTAATCCTATACGATAGGTAATACTGCTAGCAGAGACTTCACAGACGTCGATGTTTCTAGCATTGACGAGGTCGATCTGTTTCTGTATCATGTAATATAACTAAAACAATAGCTTTAACCTTGACAGTTGAAATAAATAATGAAGCTGAATAGTGGTATGTCTCACGAAAATTGTGCCTCACAATGCCTCACGAAAATTGTGCCTCACGATGCCTCACGAAAATTGTGCCTCACGATGCCTCACGAAAAATGTGCCTCACGATACCTCACGAAAAATGTGCCTCACGATACCTCACAAAAATTGTGCCTCACGATACCTCACGAAAATTGTGCCTCACGATACCCTCACGATACCTCACGAAAAACGTTGGCTTAACACCGGCACTTTACAACTACTGTTATAATATTTGTTTTTATATTTAATGTAAACAGAATACAGGTATTGTCTATGACTATAATATCAGAGATTTTTGCAATCAACAACTCCATTGTAATTTTAAAAGGTATCAAAAACACAACAACACAACAAAACCATTGTAATAATATTATGGTCCTTCATAATTGTATGAAGTTTGATCCAAATCCCTAAGGAAAAAAGCCGCTAGAGCGCTGACAAGAATTTTCAAAAAATAGTAAATGTGACATTGACCTTGACCCGACAGCCCTGATACTTGTTTGAGATATTATGGTCCTTTGTATTTCTGTGCAGTTTGATCAAAATCCATCCAGGAATAAAGCCGCTAGAGCGCTGACAAACATTGGTGTTATGTACGTACACTTGTACGTACAATGTACACAGACGGACGGAAAGGAAAACTATACCAACAGTCGAAAGCCGCGTCATTGTGTGATCGGGAACCTTACTCGAGGTGACCATACATTGTTTAGTTTTTATTACAACAATCTAATATCTGAATGATCTGACAAGATATGTTCTATATGACCATAAATTTAGGGTTTCTGACCCTATCACGATTTTAATCCACGTTCATTAAAAAATATCTATAATCGAATTTCCCGCTATATCTCCCAACCGAAAATAGCGTTCACAACTTAACATGAGCACAATTTTGACGCCATTTTGTTTATGTCAATGTGACGCTTGACAGCTGTCCGCTTCAAAGAAAATTGTGATAAACCCTGAATCAATCGCTCAAGTGACTAAGATAGTTGAAGTGTTAGAAGAAAAAAACAATCATCGGCGATTTACACTTACGACACAGTAATTGCCATAGAAAACGTTTAATTAGACCACTGCTGAAGACATTTTTTTAATGTAAAACACGGATTGAGCTTTTCCTGGTTGAGGAATAGTAATCAATCAATTGCTGATTCATTTGAAAGATACGCAAGAACTGATAAGATGAGAAGCAAAAGAATTAAAGGCATATCACGCTAATATGAATCAGAAGTTTCAGGTACAGTGTAACACATTCCCTTAAGTACCCTGCATTGTTTTACGACAATAAATTATAAAAAATGACGCCGACGCATCAGTTATGAAGAGGAAATGATATATGAACAGGTCAAATAGTGTTCAAATTAATTGTGGCATTTACTCATTTGAAATGTCATATTTTCTGATCGCCAAATGCAATACGTTGTAAGTCTAGAATGACCGTTACAATAGTTGCCTGTTAGACATTCCAACTAGATGAGATTATCGTTATGCCGTTTGTATCCTATAATAATAATAATATCCAACATTTATATAGCGCCCTGCATAATTTGTAAAATTACTCTTAAACGCTTTACAACATATGGATACTAGTATTATTTATAATTGATAAACAAAATTTTATATACAAGTACAATTAAGTAAGAAGATATTAATCTCAATATGCATATAAATCAATATATAAAGGGTGGTGTGTACATGACGCCTACGCAAAGAACCCAGTGTGCAGACGTGAAGAGGTGGGTCTTTATATCCTTCTTTGATTTGGCAAGGGTCTTTGATTTTCTAATAGCAGATGGTAAAATATTCCACAATGTGGCCGAAACCCTCGCAAAGCACCGGTTTCCACAGGTCACAGTGCGAGATTTCGGGACACACAACAATGATTCTGACTCCGACCGCAATGATAACGTGACTAACAAGCTCCTGTAGGTACTGGGGTAGCAGAATACAGTAGAAATGGCCCGACTCTGATAAACAGGGCACATGTCGAGGAAATGTAAACATGGCGGATTTACCCTACACAACACATGTATACATGTATATATATTTGTAAACTGCATTACATTTACAATACATATAAAGTACTGAGAAGTGTATAAACCTCTTTTTTTTATGTATGTCACTTGTGTGAAAACCATGGTTACCACATCAAAAATTACCAAAAAATGCCAAAAATTGCTATTTTTAACCCAAAATTTGACCCCCGCAACTAGTAAATTTTTTCCTAAGCTCTGTCTGAAATTAAAGATTACCTACCTGGTTGCAGAATTATCTGGGTCCCAGTAAAGTTGTAAAACTTGATTTTTTTGCAATTTTGCGTCGTGTGCTGTTGTCAAAATTTTACCTCCTGTAAAGCTAGCTTTTCATGTGTACGCACCCTTTCGGATTATGGGCAAAATTTTATTCTCGAACCAAAAAAATCTTCTTTCTTTTTTACAAATGTGAAGCTCACATAGCCCACTTTATCATGCTTATACCAATTTTAGTACAGTTTTATTTTTTATATTTGTTTTACATATCATTATTTAGGGGTTAGCCATTTAACAAAAATATCACCCATGGCCACAACCCTCTACTGTATACTGCTACCTGGGGAGCTGTTCCGTTCAGTGCCTTGTATGTGTACACCAAACTTTTTGTATAATCCGTAATGTGCTTTGCATAATTTATATGATCCTGCGGTTCTTAATTCTGCACGAAATGCAAATAATTCTTGATTTTGCAGCAGCTCTTGTAGCATTATTCAAATCTTGCATGAACTACTTAAGCTGTACAAAACGCAAGGAAATCCTTATGCGAGTACACATATGCTATCTTCGAATAAGACTCATTTAGAATTTACATCGTCATGAACACACGTGCTTCATAATAAATTGATACATATTATAAATCATGGGAGATGTCCTTGATTTCAAAATGAGTTACTTTTACACCCTTGTCTGATTCAGACTGACCGTCTCGATCCCGTCTTGTCAAGGAGATAACTGAGATACTTGTAATGGGACGAGAGGAGTTCCACCGGGAGGGGGACGAGTAAGTATTGTTTGTAAAAGGTCTACATATTTAGAAATGCTCAATTTAAACATTTGTAATATAGTTTATAGGGTGCAACCATCACTGCAGGAAAATACATATAACATGATGTATTTTTTAGCCGGTTTGTACCGCAGCCGATGACAGTACCGGGCAGGTTTTTACATCCGGTACAGATACAGATGCTATATCAATAACAAACTGTGTCTGCAAAATTGATGTTCTAACATTTTGTAAAACGTTTTGTTAGTAATAAACGTCTATCAAGTTCCAAATAATCCCCCCATAAAGAGATATGTATTCTTCTGTCTCATTTTAAAGCGTTTATGTGCATCATAGCATAGGAAACATTTTGAATGTAAATATCTTGCATACATTGAACCAACTTAGATCTTAAATAGTTGTATTTCATTGTTTAGATATAGATTTTATTTTCTTATTCCAGCTTCATTCCAAAAAATTCTCACGCATCAAATGCTCAGCAAAAGAGTTCCTTTCTCACGAGACGTCCATTACTAATCATAGGATTATGTCTGGTTTTTGTTGTCATCTACACTGTTGCTTTGACGCTTGGAATCGTACTATCTCATCCACACAAGCATAGGCACACGGAAAACGTTCGAAAGATCACGGTTGCTGTCGGCGCAGTTGCCAGTGATCATGAAACTTGTTCAGAAATTGGACGGTATGTATGAAATTAAACTTTGAACGTACCCCAAGCACTTCCTCTTTACTGAATTTATCTTTATCACAAAGATAAACTTAAGAGTGTAAGCTAAACAATGGAAATAAGAAAATTACATTTCTACGTTACTTTGACGTACATTTTATTTTCTTCAAAAGAGTCAAAAATTCTTAACAATGATAAGTGATTAAGACTAAACTCATTATTTAATGATTGTTTCGTACGATACGACGCTACTAAGTACACGTGTTTTGGTTTAGGTTAGTTGCCGTTGATTTTCGGCAATTTACCATTATTTACAAGATATTGATTATATTATCATTATTTCCCCAGTACCAATAAAGTCTTAACTTTCAATAAATGCCACCAATGTAAGAATATTTAATGCAAAAATACAACACAAAAAAGTCTCAGGCTTAATTTGGGTCCATTGCAGCCATACCGAATTGAACAAATGTACTAAATCACCAAGGAAACGTAAAACTGAACAGCCCATATGACGTCATGCTCTAAGTTGCCGTATGTAGCTTATCCTTTTCAATGATGTTTACCTTACAGAGACATCTTGGCGAGGAATGGGTCTGCAGTTGACGCCGCCATCGCTACCCTTCTCTGTGACGGTCTGATGTCATCACACAGTATGGGAATAGGGGGAGGTAATTACTGAATTTTATTGTACAGTTGACATTACGTTCCAACATAAATACAAAAGACAAAGTATGCCGTTTTACAAGTATAACGAAGCACAAAACCTTTCATTAAACCCGATGCGCTGTTGATAGTATCTTTGTTTCGGTTTCATTACACCATGGTTGCCAAGGTCATTATTTCGCAGAAGAAGTATATATAAATTTGGATTTAAATCAAACGTCTCATTTATTTGTTTTTAACTGCATCTATATACTCAATGACCCCAAAACACTATGCAACAGTAGAAAAAAACAGAACCGACGTGATTTTCATAGGAATATATTAACATTTGCGCTGCAACCCACTATATGAACTTTGCCAGCGGAAATGCATTTCATTTGAGTATGAAAGCAAAAAATCTTGTGACGTAACACGTGGTTTAGTTATGATGTCATGGATTAACCTTGTTCAATGAGAGTCTTGTCGCTTCACTTCTGATAACAAGGAGAATGCCCCTGCGTCAATCACCCAAATGACTACGGTTAATTATTGGCGCCAATTTTATGTAAATTGGGTCTGTTCCGTCGTTTAAAGGACATATCATATACAAAACGCAATTAATAAATAAATTATTTAAGAACACCGTATGTCTATATAACAAATCTGATTGTCGATTTAGTGACGGATCGATCGGCTGGCCCTTAATATTTTGACCAATCTGAAAGGCAAAACATAGCGGCGGACAAACTTCTAGTATCAGTTATGGTGCTGTTCAATACATGATCATTTAGTTAATGGTTAAATAATACATTATGTAGTATCTTTCCGTATTTTGATTCGGTCCATTCAGTAAGTCTCATGATCATGAGTTTGTAAATTAACAATGAACCGTAAATTTTCCAATCAGAAAAAATATGAGAATCTCTGAAATGGTTGATTCCATGCAAGAGTATTGAATTTTTCGTTTGTAAATCAAGAGCTCCCTTTTCCTCACTCGTCCTTTCCCTCTCTGCAGCGTAAACATGGTACCAACTTTAAATATCAATAAATCCAACATGAAAATCGAAAATCGGACATCACGGAAAGTATTGTCTAAATAGCAAACATTGGTAAACAAACAATAGAATGACCACTTCCGTTCATCAGTCATTTACCAGAGGGTCCATACAGCTTACTCCGATATAGTGCGTCTGTTATATAAAGCTTTGCCTTCGTTAAAACAATATCTTTCTAGCAGTTATATCAGGGTACAGTTATACAATAACTATGATATTTAAAAACAGGTAAAGATGGGTTAAATTTTACATTTTTATCAGATGATGTTAACTTTCAACTTTATCAATCTATTAATATATATTGAACTTTGAACTTTATCACTTTATTTATATTAATTGAATATGACAGGAAGTTTCTTCGCTATCTACGATGCCAAAACTAAACGGACCAAGACAATAAATGCCAGGGAGGCTGCCCCAGCAGCTCTGACAAAAAGCCTGAACACCGGGACTGGACCTAGGAGCAGTAAGTAGGGGGCGGGGGTGGGGTAGCGAACCATGTACCACCATAACGAGAAATTAAATAAAATCGATGTGACGTCACGCAGTGTAGACCTACTGCATACTGTGAAATTATTGGAAAGGAAAAAATAAAGAGGGATACGAGAAAACGTTTTATCATACACAACTGTATCATATGGTTTCAGGGTTACTTCCTGATCTTCAGATACTTTCAGGTTTGCCTTGACAATTAGCAGCTAATCAAATCTGTTAATTTGGGAGGCGGGGCG